ACCTGCAATTTATAATGGCGCATTGTAGTCACCTTCGTGCACGAAAGTTCGTTCAATCTCAGCTGCTCAACATTTTCAGTTATTTGCTGTTGTATCGCCAATTTTCAAAATGCAAATGATCTGTTTATTTTCAAAGAATAGTTTGTTTTGTTATTGTTTGGTTGGTGTCTTATATGAAACTGCGATATTGCGCAATTTATTGGACAGACTTGTTTAAGATCACACAGCGTAATTTGGGTGGCATTTTATTTCGTATTTTTATATCATCTTTTTATTTTTGACTATCTGTAAATTTAGTTTCCTGCTCTTAATTGTGAATGCATACTTGATGGTTTTAAATGCTCCTGAAATTAAGTGCTGCTTGATGAGCCTATACAGTATTGTGTTCATGTATGTGACGTCACTGAAGGCCTAAGGTTGAAATGCACGGCCCGCCACTGGTTGTGACTATAATAGAGCAGTAATTTAACGCTCGTACAGAACATAGATTAATTTTTGGTTCTGATTCTCAAATTTTATTACGAAAGTAAAGGGTTTGGAGATTTAAAGGATTAGCTTCACAATGAATTCTCAATACCATCAATGACTCTTTACTGATGGTCAATCTTCACCTCACTGCCACTGGCTTTGGGATGAACATTTAACACTCTATTTCTCAAAATATGTATATCTTTCAGAAATCAAGCCACAAGTCAAAAAAGAAGACAAAGTCTTTGTTGTTGTATCCTTCTGTTCATGTTTCATGTTCCTCATCTTCTGAATGACTTCCGCACAACGAATGAAATTCTCATCCACCACCCAACATCTCAGGAGGTGAAAGAAGTGAACCATGAACATTGTCTATAGTGGGGGGGTTGTACTATCTCTTGGGTTGAAGGTGCCAAGGTGGATACATACATCATTCATACATTTTGTTGCATATTCCGTTGATACCAAATAAGAAGTTATGTTCTTCTTCAAACAAATGCTCTTGAATGGGAAAGCCTATTTAGCGAATAATTTCTTTATCGCGAGCATCATAATTGAAATCAATTAAAAATTTTAGTTGCCACTTTTGTATTAGTACAATATTACATTTTAGACCTCCAGTGATGTGGTGCTTTGATTCCATTGATTCATTTTTCGAGAACAACAACAGAGAGCATGTCAAAACAACATACTGCATGCGAGTGAAATTTGAATTCAGATGTCAAGTTAATGGCCAGATCCAATGTAAAATCCAAGTACAGTAGTGGACTTAACATTCTTACATTTCACTTTGTTCTTTCCCTCTTTTGCACCTCCTTCTCATGTTGCCCTTTTAAATTATTTGATACTGACCACTGCTAGATGGTGTGTCATCTGCAGCTACCGCTTGCTCTATATGTGCATGTATGTGTGTGTTTGTGTTTGTGTGTGTATGTGTGTGTGTGCGGTGTGTGTGTATGTGTGTGTGTGCTTCCTCCCAGGTGAACTGAGGCTGAAGTAAAGAAATGCTCATTACTGATTCAGCTTGAAATGCTAGGGATACATTCACAAAACTACATGCAC